ATCCACGTTGCTTGAAGTCCAGTGTAAAGTTTCCACAGTCAGTGATGGTTTGGGGTGCCATGTCATCTGCTGGTGTTGGTCCACCAGCAGATGACAGGCTTTAAATGTAACAAAACAAAAGTAAAAGTTACCATTTAAAARTACTTTACAAATCCCTAAAAAAGTTACTTAGGTACTGTAAAAGTAAATGCACTGGGGGGTAATTGGAAATGTATTTCACTTGAGGTGACCCCTACAGAACGGGAGGAAACATGAGGATCAGTTGTGGAACACAAAGGCAGGCATACACAGAGGAACACAAAAACACAACAATCTGGGGAAATTAAACACAGATCATAACATCCCAATAAGGAGCAGTGGTGGTAGAGACTGTTGAAAGCTGACCCAGTGGCCCTGAAAACAACATATATTAAACATCTTATTGTTCCATACTTTCCTAACAGAGCACTTCGCTCTCAGACTGCAGGTTTACTTGTGGTTCCTGGAGTTTCTAAAAGCAGTTATCAAGCTCCTTTTTTGTGGAACCAACTTCCAGTTTCTGTCCATGAGGCTGACACTCTGTCTACTTTTAAGACTAGACTGAAGACTTTCCTTTTTGATAAATCATATAATTAGACTTAGGTTTACTGAATTATTCTTCATTTCTGCTGCTATAGACTTAAGACTGCTGGAGCACAAACTGAGCACATTTTCTCACTCTGCTGTTGTCTTTAGTCTGTCTTCTCTACATGTTTATTGTAATTATTTCTATCAATAACATGTTTTTTTCTTTTTGTCTCTTTTCCAGAAGTAGGTGCACCTGGACCAGTTCTTCTGTGTTTGTCTGTGTCTCTTTCCTGTCCCCCAACCCAGCCGGTTGAGGCAGATGGTCTACTGTCCTGAGCCTGGTTCTGCTGGAGGTTTCTTCCTGATTAGCAGGGAGTTTTTCCTCTCCAGCGTTTGCTCAGGATGTGAGACTGTGATGAAGTGATTCAACACAATCTGTTGGCTTCTTCTTTGGATTGTTCTTTTTTTCATGTACAGTGCGCTGAGACAACGTACAGAATGTTGTGACTTGGTGCTAAATAAACTGGATTGAATTCAACTGAATTGAAGTGAATTGAATTGAATTGATTTCATAGGTAGGTAAAATTAGTAAGAGTTACTTTCATTTAACCGATTAAAAAAACTATTTGGATAAAGAAATTTCATGTCTAAAATGTGCTGAAAGGTAACTTATCAAAAAAACAGAAATACTGTAACAAAGCTTGTTCTGAACTCTATCAAATGGTGCAGTTTGAAGGTTAGTAATTTATGCAGCACAGTTTTATTTATTTTTTCTTTCTGCAGGTGTACAGGAAGACTAGGGTGTTGTTTTTTATTTTCTCTGCTTTTTCTCTCTTCTACTCCTATCTCCTTCTTTCCCTTTAAACCTTTTCCCCACCTTTCTCCCTTTCATCTTTCTTTTCTTTTCCACCTCTGTGTCCATTGAAATAATCCTAGCAGTTGTTAATAACTTTGTTATATATATATATATATATTGATCAAATATACAACTTTTATTAGCACTTTAGACATAAACATGTTACATATGTTGGCATAAGTTGTCTAGTGTGACAGGGCCTCAGGATAGAAGATGTGAGGATGTACAGACAGTTCTCTTGTCTCATGGAAAACCAAGAAGCAGCCCACTCTCTACCTGTGAAGCAGAGTGTATGGCTCTAGGTTGTATGATGCAGGAATGTACATACAGTACTTAGAACTATTTTTGAAAGGTATAGATGACTGCAAAAAAAAAAAAAAAAAACAACACAAAAACAGTTGTGTACAAGGACAACCAGGGTTCAATTGCTTCAGCTAAAAACCTGTAATCAGACAAAGCTGTAAAATGTGGGTAATATATATCGTTTTGTGAGATTGACAATGTTTGAAAATGTTATGTTATATTTGGTGGGGAGAGTGGAAGAGATCCACATCAGCGTTTTAGTTTACTGTGTATTTTATTGTTTCAGTGGGTGTTAAGATGTTTGACCTTTTGTCTTGAAGTTGTGAACACGTTGACTGCATTTAACCTCATGGACATGGCGTCCACATTTGTGGACAAACATGAATGCATGGTGCTCAGGTGTTGTTTTGGTTAGGAGTGCAGTGATTGGTTTTGTCCACTGTGTGACGATAGTCCAGTATTTATAAGGATGCTGCATCACTCTTTCAGGTTGGTAAGAGTGACTGAGAAGTCAGTGTGACAAAGTAAGATGTTCAGTGATGCCGTTCTATAAAATAAAAAGAGAGGAAAGAACAGTAAAGATATCTGACTCCATCCAGCTTTATTCCTTTGAGTTCAACGCTGATGCTGCCTTGCTCAATGATACACATGCATAACAAACATATATTTGACCATTTGTGGTCCTTGATGGTCTCTAATTTCAAATCTTTTGTGCCTACAATTAGGGTCTGGCACTCACAGTTTAAAATTTACAACAGGTGTGATTGTTTTTCTTCTCAAACACATTATTTTGTGTCAAAAGAAAGCACTGAAAGTTTTGTTCATTTACACTGAATTGTTAAATACAATGAGTTTGGGTAAAACATTTTTTTTACAGATAATTCAAGCCAGCGTGTCCAAAATTTGAAAAGATGGCATTTTTGAGACCTCGGATTTTGTTTCTCTTATTCCTCATCACCACAAGCCTTGCTTTTTGCTGAAGAAAATAGAACTCTGTTTTTTTTAGGTACTTGTTAAATGTTATTTAGCCTTAAAAATGCCTTTGAGACRAATTTTGAAGGTGGAAAAAATGACCTGCAATAAAGCTATAAAATAATAAAGAGAGACAAAGTTGGAACAAACAAACTGATTGGCTGCTCTCATCAAAAACGAGCTAATCATAGAACTTGCCTTGGTCAGTTCTTTTTGGTAAGAAAAAAAAACGTTTATTAACGTTATCAGGCGGCAGATAACAGAAATGACTCCTCTTGTCAAACATTTTTGTTATCTGCCGCCTGAGTCATTGTTCAAAATTTCTCCTTAATGGTAATGGTATTTAGAGCAGACTAGCAGTAACTAAGGTGCAGCACTGCTCCCGACAGGTTATTCTGTTCTCATTTTAAACCTTGCACCGTGGCTTGTGTGTTGTTCAAATTTACACCATTTTGTACATTTACTTGTATTTGGCCAGTGGCCGCAGATGGGCTGCTAATGCACAAAGGCAAGAGAAAAACACTTACCTGTGCTTTTGTTTTTAACTAAGCTTTAAAATTTAAGCTAAACGGAGGCAGCACAAACATGCACAGTAGATCTTCACATGATGAATCCTTCTCCTTCTGTCTGCTGACCAATAGAAGAGGTGCYGACCTAGGAAGCATCGCCCACCTTATTTGTAGTATAATGAGGCTGAAATGCATTGATCAAAGTAAAAATGGGAAAAATGCAAAAACACATGGAAATAAAAAGGCTTGTGGGGAAAAATATTTAAAAATAAACATAAACATTTAAGAGACACAAATGCATGCACAAGTAAAAGGAAAGACAAAAATGTGTAAAACAGTGAAATGTAAATCGTATATAATTTATTGGAATTAAGCTGGAAAAATAAATGCAAAGGTCAGTTAAATTATAAAACATGAGGTAATTC